GCACCATTGGGTTCAACGAAGTACTGCTAATTTGTTGAAGGCTATCCATTTTTGGTAACTCTCCAACCACACGAAATTTCATTTTTGGGGGATAATTGAGTGCAACCGGAAAAATCAAATCTAGCCAAGATTTTGGTATATTTCCAATGGCTGCCCAAGATTTTGGTAGATTTCCGAGAGTCTACCCAAGATTTTGATAGATTTTCCCAACGAAATCAGATCTTTTTCAACAGTTCCCAAGGCCAGGGAACTTGTGCAGCCACCCTTTTCAGCAGGTTTTCAACATTGTACAGCCACCTTTGCATTGAATATGGCTGTAAGTTGTTGATGGTGACCAAAACAACATCTTTGGTTGGTTTTGAATGAGACTCCAAGCTTTTAGTTAACATCAAACAGTATAGTTTTGCGGATCAAGTCGGCCTCTACGTCTTCGCCACCCAGCCTTTTCTAGCAAAGTTGGGCAACATCACCAACGCCAAGCTTCACTGGTGCAAATGCCTTGCTTCGCAAGATAGGCAACACTCACCCATCCATGCCTACCAAGCCATTACTCTCATAGTTTATCTCGAATATCCCTATGAGCTTGGATTCATGGGTTTATTGATGACCAGCATAAAGGAATAGTGATTAGTTGATAAAAATGATGAAATTTAATAGAGAAGGAAATAATAAAGGAAAGAGACTTCCCTATGTATTTCTGGCGATGCAGCTATGTACTGCAACATTAGATACCATTGGGACTTCTTTTGTATTTCTGGCGATGCAGCCATATACTGCAGCATCAGATATTGCTGGGCCTAGCCATGTGTTGCACGTTGAAGGCATTAATGGGTGCTTAGATCAAGGCGGGTCTTGGTGACGTGGAAACTACCTAAGTCCAAGTTTGACCTTTTACAAAAACATCCATCAATAGGTAGTAACTAATTTGGACATAAAACAGAGTGCATGTTAAAAAAATTATAACCTTATTTTACAGTTTGAACTGTATTAAATTGTAACATAAAAGTCGTTGGATAAAGGTATAACTTCTGGTCCCTTTGTTTCAAAATATACTCCCTTCATCCCACATAATAGACCCTTTATTTTATTTTATCTTCAAATTAAAATTTTAGAGACAATTTCTAATTTTACCTATTTTATCCTTTAAAAAATAAAAAGAAAAAATTGTTTTCATGATGGGAAGGATAATTAAAATTAGGAAAATAATTGGTACACCCTCTAATTTAACACACTCACCAACATCTACCAATTTAGCTATTAAATTCTACAATTGAAATTTTTCTTGCTCTGAATTTAAATTTAAAAATGATATCTTCTTAATAAGTGTAACACAAAGTGTGTTGAACTAGAGAGTACCAATCATTATCCTTAAAATTAAAAGATAATCATAAGGTTAAAGTAAGAAAAAATATTTATTTTCCCTAAAATATAAAAAGACAACTATTATTTTAGGACAAATTCTAAATCAAAACACGTCTATTATTCTAGAACAAAAGAAGTAAGTCGCATGACTTTTTGCAAATAACTTTAGGTAATACTTTTTTTATAGTATACATGAATGATAATTGAGATTTTTTTTCCTTATACACAGTTCTTGAGTAGTTTGATTTAATTAAAAAAATTTTAATTATCATTCATGCACAAAAAAAAAAAAAGAGCACAATCTAAAAAACATGTAAAAAAATCAAATTACTTATATTTTGAAACGAAAGGAGTAATGTCTAAAATTTACCCCTATTTAATAATTTAAATTATACAATTTTGATTTTAAACTTCACAACAATTTTTTTTTTTAATATTGTAAGAGTGAGAATGTTAATAGAAAATATTAAATTTTAGCTACATGTGATATAGGGGTAGTGCATAGAAAGATTTGAGATTTTAAAATGTATATATAGTATATTTGTGATTTAAGGTATGTACATGTAAAGACCCAAGATTTCAAGATGTAAAAATAAGGACTTGAGGTTTTCTATTAGGTGCATATTATTACTTGAATTTACATGAAAGTATCATAAATACCATTGTTCTTCTTTTCTTTTTATTCTTTTAAATTAGGGGCCTTTAAGAAATTTCAAAAAATGTCTAGTGCTTATTCACTTAAAGTACAAATATCAAATGCTTATGTGCACATTTTGATGTATTGAGTTTCTATCAACACATACCCAAAACCACAAGTATATAATATTCACATTTTAACATTTCAAATCTTTATCTCTACTTACCTCAAACTACAAATAACTACGGTTTTGTTGATAACATTTTTTAATTTTTCAACTTCTAATTTTTATGTCTTTTTATTATTTTAAAAACATAGTAAAATGCTAATTATAATAAATATTAAATATATTATATATTAGATTTTTTTTAGAAGTTAAAAAATTAAAATACCTACAATTACACCTACAAATTAATAATATCAAACTAAGCCTAATTCACAATTTCCCTCAGTTAATACTACTAGTCAGATGCCATTTAATTCAACGACCGCCAGGCCACAATGGAAGGTTTTTACTTCAACTAATTAAATTAACATTTATCACTTGACTACAAAGCACACACATTCCCATATGGACAGAGAGGGGCAAAGTCCAAGACAGTACGAGTGAGAAATGATATAGCAATTGAGTGCTTTATGATTGAATTGAAGGAGAGAGAAAGAGAAAAAGTTAGTCTATTTATTTCATTCATTCATTCAAGGATTCCCAACATCTTTATGATCCTCGACGCAAAAAAAAAGAAAGAGGGTCTAGTACCCTACACCCCACCTTAGGCCTTTGGTGTTGTGCTTTTAAGGTGAAATGGTGGTTTTGCTTTGCCTTTGTTTGGGATTTCAGTCTTTTTATTGACTTTCTGTTCCTTTTCCCCACGGAGCCCGAGGTTGGTTGAGGACCACCACGCCTCTCGTCCCTTGATCAGTCAGAATTCAAGTGAGGGTAAAAACTCAATTCTTCTTCATCAATGACCTTTCACATCAATGGGATTATTGACTATTTTAAATATCAAATCCTTTTGCTTTTGCATTTTACATGCCCTGCTGTTTTCCTATTACTATTTATGGGAGTCTATCTCCCACGTCCACTTCCTTTCTGCCTAATGGCCAAATTTTACTTTTCACATGAA